GGTGTATCTTTGGCTATGTGTATTTTCACCAAAGAAAAAAAAAAAGGTTGAGAAGTTAGAGGGTTAATATGTTGTGGGGTTGTTAACCAATGCCATAAAACAACATGTGTACTTCTGTTTCATGAGAAACTATTTGTTCTGTAAGCCTTCACCTGAAGTACGATAAAAAAAAAAAAAGAAAAAGAAAGTAGATAAGTGTCACCAGTGGCTGGGGGATGAGGAAGTGGGGAGTGGCTGATAAGTGGGTACTGATTTCCATTTGGGGGAATGAAAAAGTTTGGGAAATAAATAGTGGTCACGGCTGCATAATATTGTGAATGTAAGTAATGCCACTGAACTGCACACTTAAAAATGGTTAAAATGGCAAATTTTATGTTATATATATTTTATACAGTAAAAAAAGGCGGGGGAGAGAATGCCTAAAATTGGGTGGAAAAATTACCAGAAGTTGCCTGCGTGAGGTGGGATTATGGGTAATTTTTATTTTCTTCCATATAGGAAAAAATCGCCAGTGATCCTGGGAACTGTAACAATCCCCTCTGGAAACGTTTAAATGAGTAGAAATGGTGCCCTGTGGTTTTCCCACCACGCTGGGTCACACTGCAGCAGACAGAAAGCATAGTGTGGACTTGGCCAGCAGTTTCAAAGCGGTCCAGATTTCATCTTCAAAACCGTGAACCCCCACCGTCACACTCAGCCTACCAACCCTGCCATCGGCGTCACCCAGTCCACTAACCTGGATGGAGGTCATGACGCCGTTGGCAAAGACAGACAGCTTCCCAGCAACGGACCTCACGCCCTGCTTAAACTGCGCCATGTCAGGAGCGGCGGGCAGCACGCTCGTGAGGTTGTAGTTACCTGCGCACACACGACACACAGGCTTATTAGTCTCCACGGGGAGCGGCACGGCAGAGAACACCCCCCACCAGCCCCTCCCTCCTTCTCCATAAGCAGCAGCTGTGGTTCCGGGAAAGGACCCCACGGTGGGGTCAGGACCGGGGTTTAAGTCCCAGCCCCACCATGAACCGGCTGAGAGAAGATGCAGCACTGGGGTCTTAACCACCATGGGTTCAAATTTTTTGGCACTGCCACTTCCAAGCTGTGTGCCTTTGGACAAGTTCTTCACCCTCTCTGGGCCTCTGTTCCTTCAAGGTGTTTAATCCAAGGCCTGACGCATAAGTATTCGGTGAAGGGCAGATGGGTGGACATCTGTGGTTTTGTCTGCTCAGCAGCCCCTCCCCCTCTTTTGGTAAAAGCCACCCTCCCTTCCTCTGGGGACTGCCCCTCCCCTCTGCCCCATCCACAGGTGGCCAATCAGAGCCTTCCTTGGGAGCCATTTACTTGAGTAAAGTAAGAGGAGACTGCTTGTCTGTGACTCTCACTGCCCTTCCAACTCACTCCTCAAGGACAGATGGACAGAGGAAGCTTGATGCAGCACGAGAGAACGAGGCCATTGCCCAGACTGCAAGCCAGAAACCGAGGAGTCCATGCCCATGACCTTGTTTGACTCCGACTCTGCCCGGGTACAGGAGCCAATACTTTCACCGTGTTTGCTCAGGCTAGCTTGAGCTGGGCTTCAGCCGTTTCCACTTTGATTGTCCTGATGCAAACATTACCATATGGTACCATGCAGGTAAAGCGCAAACAGTACCGTATGGTACCCAGGGAGGTACCGGGTGTTTCCTTCTGTTGTGTACAGGGTCGCTACGAGTCAGGGCCAACCCGAGGGCACCGAACAACCAGCACCCGTGCAGGTAAAGCACACCGGTGTTGTCACAGGTACCGCGGTCTGACCTCACGCCCGTGTGACAACACAGGTCTCGCGGTACACCTTTGTTACACAGCTGTAATAAGACGCTGGAGGGCTCAGTGACTGTGAGCGGAACCCAGACCTGTAGCCCCTCCGGGCCCCACATGTGACCCGTCCACACCCGCCTGCACCTTAAGCTACAGAAACCTTGGTCAGGTCCCTTTCCAGAGAAACCAGAGACGACAGCCTTGTCCTTCAGCCCCTCAGTTTCCCACGGCACGGCTCCCGTGCCCGCCTCGTGGGAGGGCCCCAGATGCAAGCTCTTCCCCTCTCCACTCCACAAAAGAGCTGGGAAGTGTCAGCTGACTTTTTAAAGTTTTATAGCCCTTTGCCAGTTCCACAGCAGAAGCCTAGAGCAGTGACGGGTCTGGGTTCAAATCCCAGCATAGCTACTTACAGTTGCCTAAGTCACAGCAAATGAGGAGTCACTGTGGGATGGTGAGCGTGGGAGCCAGAGAGCCATGGCTGTGTGGTCACCTTACAGGTCCAGGGTGGCTGGTTAGCATGGACCAGAGCTCAGAGAGCCACTGCTGCATGGTCACCTTACAGGTCCAGCATGGCTGGTCGGCATGGACCAGAGCTCAGAGAGCCATGGCTGTGTGGCCACGTAACAGGTCCAAGGTGGCTGGTCAGCGTGGACCAGAGCTCAGAGAGCCACGGCTGTGTGGTCACCTTACAGGTCCAGCATGGCTGTTCAGCGTGGACCAGAGCTCAGAGAGCCACTGCTGCATGGTCACCTTACAGGTCCAGCATGGCTGGTCAGCGTGGACCAGAGCTCAAAGGGCAGCTCCTCCTCTACTTAGGAGTTTCCAGCTTGAAAAGGTCACCGGGGCACACACAGCCGAGCCAGAGCAGAGGCACTTCCATTCTGCTCCAGGGTATCTACCCCTCCTTCTGCTCCGGGGTATCTACCCGTCCTCAGAGTTGCCCCGGGCCTGAGGAGAGCAGCTCCAGGACCACAGCCCCTCACTGACTACCCTCAGTGCCAGGTGACCAGAGGTGGTGACGGGGCCCGTCCCTGTGTCCTTCTGTCCTCCCTGAACTAGGGATGAAGCTCACAGGCACCACAGAAATGCCTGAGCCCCGGGCCCCTAGGAACACTCCACACCAGTCCTCAACTGCCTCCCCAGATGTTTACGTAGAGAAACAAGCTCAGGTCTCACCTGGCCACTGTGTTTGCACTGTCTCAGTACTTACTTCATCCTGAAGACCTAAGATCCTAGGGGGTAAGTAACTTGGCAACTTGTGGAGCAGGTGACAGATCCCGGGCCAGGCAGAGCCACCCACCTGCAGGTTCCAACCGTGAGAAGTCTGACCAGAGATCTCCCTGTGTTTAGCAAAGGCTCCCTTCCTGATGGTCACTGGCAGTCAGCCATACCCACACTTGGCAATAGGTTGGCTGTGACGGCTGCCCAGGGCAGGCTGGAAGGGTCAGCGGTCAGAGGCGGCAGTGGTCAAAGAAGCCTAACTGTGCTCACGTTATCATATACTTCAGGAGACAGCGGCTCACATTCCCTTCCTCAGGAAGAGGTTCCCTGACCCGTGGTTTAGACAGGTCCCAGGGTCCCTGTTCTCAGAGCAGACACTGCACAGATGCTTTGCCAGAAATTACCGCACACCTCCTAATCAAGGCAGACGATGACCCTAACGATACTGTGGTCTATGCTGTTTCCTGCCTGTGCAGAGCAGACTGAGGGGGAGCAGCCGTGAAGGAAGTGGGCAGTCAGGAGGCCAATGCATGGGCCAGGCAGAGGGGCTGCTGGGGTGAGGAGGGAGGGTGAAGATGGGGGGGGACCTGAGGGTCGTGGAGTGAAGATGGGGGGGAACTGAGGGTCGTAGGGTGAGGAGGGGGGCAGACCTGAGGGTCCTGGGGGGCTGTGTGGTGGGGCATAGTGACTGGCTGCAGGAGGCTGGAAGAGGAGTATTAGGGTGACACCCAGGGTGCTGGTGCTCCCCGCTCTGAGGCAGAGCCCTGAGGGGTAGGGAAGCTGAGCCATGTAGGTGGATGTGAGGGGAAGGTCCGTCAGGGCAGGCAAGTCTCACCATGGAAAGAAACACCTCAGCAGATCCTGATGAACTGCTTGCTAATGACGGGCTACTCGGCATGGGCTGTAGGTGCTCTGCTCGTCACCTCTTGGGGCCCATGCCGCCGGGCCGCCACCCATACGTGTCTCTGTGACCACCACAGAGGAAGGAAGCATGGCCACGCTCACACAAGCTTAGAGCCTGGGAGCTGCACACCCCACTGCAGACCACCTGTCACGTGGCCACACCTGGCATCCCAGGAGCACGGAGGAGGGGAGCACAGGGGCATGCCCCAAGTCGGCGGAGGGCGGAGAAGAGCGAGCCTAGGGACTGTGCCTGACGTCAGAGGAGAGCCGGCACCGAGCATGCCCAAAGTTGGAGGAGGGCAGGGGAGAATGAGCACGAGGTGTGCCCGAAGTCAGAGGAGGGCGGAGGAGAGCGAGTCCATCGCTGTGCCAGACGCTGGAAGAGCACAGAGGAGAGCGAGCAGGGGGCTGTGCCCGACGTCAGAGGAGGGCGAGCAGGGCGCCGTGCCCACTGTCGGAGGAGAGCGATCAGGGGGCCGTGCCCGACGTCAGAGGAGAGTGAGCAGGGGGCCGTGCCCGACACCGGAGGAGAGCGAGCAGGGCGCCGTGCCCACTGTCGGAGGAGAGCGAGCAGGGCGCCGTGCCCACTGTCGGAAGGGAGTGAGCAAAGCGCTGTGGCTCTGCGCGCGCCCTGAGGAGCCGCTAGATCAGGGTGCTTCTAGAGCTCATTCATTCAGTAAACATTTACCGGAGTTTTCTCTGAGTCGGGCCCTCTGCCAGGAGCGGAGGTACAGAGATGAAAACGGACAGACCCTAATCCCTCAGAGCTCATGCTCATTTCGGGGGGACTGTCACCGATGGCCTCAGCCACAATGGTGAGAGCAGGCAGAGGGGCCTGAGGCATCTCCCAGGGCACGGATGGTGGGTTATCTGGGTGAGCAGAAGGGGTGGAGCATTCTGGGCTCAGAGACCAAGAGAGCCCAGTACGGCTTGGGATGCGCAGGCCCAAGGCAGCTGGACTAAGGGCATCGCAGGAAACGACCAGAAATGAGGCCAGAGAGGCCAACATGGGGCCCCGTCCTGAAGGGGGCAAGCCGGGCGGGGGCCTGCACGCTAACCCGGGGGCCTGCACTTTGAAAGACCACTCTGTGAGGAGTGAGGAAGTGAGGTGCGGGAGCCCAGGCTGGAGCAGGAGGACAAGCAGGGGCTGTGGCCACAGCCCAGGAATAAGCGAAGAGGGCCTGGCCTGTGACTGGCCTGTGACGGAGACCCAAGGATGCCTGAGAAAGACTGTGGGTGTGGGGAGGGAGCTGGGAAGTCGAGAACAGCTCCAAGGCTCTTCAGAAAATTAATTTTAATAAAACATCATGTACCAATTTCCCTGAAATGGAGACAAAGCAAGAGAAAAAGTATTTCCAAGACTACAAGAACAACATGTTTAAAAATAAACAAAAAGCTCTCCAGTGCTGATGTCTCTGAGACAGACACAGCGGACACTGATCTGCTAAGATTAATGTGTCTCCGGTTTGTATAACGATACCTTCTCGGACGATGCCACTGCACAGTTGTGCTGTGTGACAGACACAGCTAACAAATCGCCCACCCAAACCACCCGACAGCAAAACTGGTCAGTGCTCCTGAGACGTGGCCCCGCTAGGCCACAGGGCTCTGGGGCCAAGAAAGGAGGAAGGACAAACGTGGCCTAGGCGCCCGAGCAGGCCTCACAGACACCAGGAGCAGGCAGGCAGCACAGCCATCCACGCCCCCAGGACGCGCACGGTAGAGGAGCCCAAGCGCGCAGAAAGAGTCCTCCCAGCCCCAGTGGTCTTGGAAGAAACGCACAGAGAGGGGCAATCTGGCTTTTATGCTTCCTTTGTTCCAACGTTGCTCCCGCAAAGCTCCCTCTGTTCTGTCACTTGGTATTCTGAGTGACTCTACCCCCCCAGGAGTAGTAGCCATCCCACGCCCCGAGTGACCATGCTCTCCGAGAGGGACCA